GCCAGCACCAGTTCTACTGATTGCCTGCCCTTTGGCACTATCTTTGAATGTCTTGCAGTGTGAAGTCTTTTCACATGATTACATTAATTTCAGTTAAAATGAATTTCTAGAAGATCGTTAATTGTAATATGCATCCTTTGTGATTTTTGAGCTAGACGTGTTTTATAAAGCTAAGTCAATCAGTGTTTCCAGGTTGGCCCAGAGAGGAGAGAAGTGCTGAATTACAAATAACATACAACCATCCTGAAACCTTGGAATTGCTAATTTTTTAGAGGAGGTAGGGAAGAGATAAGTTCCAGGAAGCCAGCTACCCAGAGTCTCTGACTAGATGGAGACAGGGAAGGGCTCACTCATCTGATTCTCATTTTAGACAGTTTCCTTGGTAACACTCAGAGTGCTTGGCCCCTATCACTTCTTTTTATGGGGACTGTTTAGATTTGTGAAATAGCTTCGCTTGTATGCCTGCACTTAATGCTGAATAAGGCTTGAGATTAAAAATGGAATGGGATTCATTTCTTGAAGTCGCTCAGTCGTGTCCAACTCTTTGTGACCCCATGGCCTGCAGCCTACCAGGCTTCTCCGTCCATGGGATTTTTCCAGGCAAGAATATCTTCCCGATCCAGGGATTGAACCCAGGTCTCTTGCATTGTAGGCAGATGTTTTACCATCTGAGCCACCAGGGAAATCATTTCTGTATAGTATTATAGCAAAAATGAAGGCATAAAGAGTAATGGTGGAGTGGGAGGGAGGTTCGAGAGAGGAGACATATGTATACCTATGGCTGATGTATGGCAGAAGCCAGCACAATATTGTAAAGCAATTATCCTTCAATTAAAAGTAAATTTTTAAAAAAAAGAAAAATGATATTGTTGTCCAGGGTTTTGCAAAGCGAGTGGGATCGAGATTTTCCTTCTGTCCACAAAAAGTTATCAGGCTTAGTTGTCTGAAAAGTTGAAATAGATTAGTACCTACTTGTTTTGCTTTTAGAAAAATAAAAAGCCACGCTGTGTCGTTTATCAGTAAGTGTAGTTTGAAACACCATCTCCAGATCTTGTTTTTCCTTTCAGTGAAGACATAGAATTAGTCACTTTTAATGCTCATTGTAATTAGTCAGAGACTCACTTGAAAGGGGTATCTTTTGTATTAGTATATTGTTCAGGTAAGCTGTGAAGAGAACAAATGCACATTATGTTGTAAATCACTCAAGTACATGTATTTTTCCAGAAATAGATGCTGCAAGTTCCGTGATGCTGTTGCCATCTTAATCCTTCATAAGCAAAGGCTGATGAAGAGAGACTATTAGAAAATGGCACATTAGGAGTACCTTTAAAAAAGTGTATTGAGTGACCTTTTCAAAACAGATGTCAGAACCACTCCTTGGAGGAAAGTAATGAATAAAAAGATTGGCTGGAGCGGTCACAATTACTTATTACGTTATTAGAGGCAAGTACATGTTTAATATGAATCGGTGATTCTTAGAAACAAAATTTACATGTGAGAGGATACTGGTGAGTGGAAAATATGACTCAAGAAACTACTGGAGTGTTCTATAGGTTATTTTAACCTTTCAGGCATCAGCTGTGGCACATAACCTGTGTACTGAAAAAAAGACTGAAAGCTGTACATGTTCATAATGTAGACTGCTGCTTCTGCTAAGGCACTTGAGTCGTGTCCAACTCTGTGTGATCCCATAGACGGCAGCCCACCAGGCTCCTCGGTCCCTGGGATTCTCCAGGCAAGAACACTGGAGTGGGTTGCCATTTCCTTCTCCAATGTGTGAAAGTGAAAAGTGAAAGTGAAGTCGCTTAGTCCTGTCCGAGTCTTAGCGACCCCATGGACCGCAGCCTACCACACTCCTCCATACATGGGATTTTCCAGGCAAGAGTACTGGAGTGGGGTGCCATTGCCTTCTCCGAATGTAGACTGAGCCCCCCGAAATCATCTTCCAGTCAACATTTCAGAAAATAATTTCCCTAGGCAAATTAAGTAAACTTTAATTATAAGGAATAATTTGATGAGTTATATAAATGGTTTAATTTATATGCATGTTGTTAGAGGTTTGATTTTTGATTTGTGTCTGCAGCCATCCATGGGAAACCGTTACAACAGCTGCAATGCAGAAATACCCAAACCCTATGAATCCGAGTGTGGTTGGAGTTGATGTACTGGACAGACACATAGATCCCTCTGGAAAGTTGCACAGCCATAGACTTCTCAGCACAGAGTGGGGACTGCCTTCCATTGTGAAATCTGTAAGTGTGCCTTTGTTCCTGAAGCAATGTGACTGCTGTAGAGAAGTTTTCTAAACCACATTATAATTTCAGATAGGTTGTGGGAGCCGATTCTGAATGTCATTTTTGCATCAGTTCAAATTGTATTATAATAAACTTGGGTTATGAGTGTATAATGAATTGGAAATATTATTACAATCTTCATGAAGTCACCTGATAAAACCTTCTGAAGGAAGCCAGCTAATGCTCTGTGATCTGAAAGTTTTATTCTGCTTTTCCTACTTTGCCAAAAGCTAGAGCTATGGCAGCTGGGATTTGGTGCTGGTGGTTAGCAGGCAGCTGCTGGGGTCAGTGGTGTTGCGACGTTAAGTGAGGCATAATCTCAGTTTGCCATGGCCGTGTTTGTTCCAAGATCTGGTGCTTCTGCCTGTACATTGAAAAATGTAATTCTATGCTCTTTCAAGGGAGCAGGTTTTAGGGAGCCATTCTATCCTGATGGGAGAGAATCCTGGTATAAGTGGACCAAGTTATCTGTAGAAACTCTCTTTATAGAAGGTGGGCCCACACAGAAAACGAAAGTACTTGTTTTTCACCAGGAATGTGCTAATTGCTTCCTTTGTATAAACTACTGCCCTAGATAACATGGACAAAGAAGTGAGCAGGGTTGGGATGGCCTTGGGGTCAGAGCCTGGAAGCGCCCCCGGGTGTGCTATGTTACCTTCGTCTTGAAGTGGCTGGTTTTCTGCCTGGAGAGCAGAGCCACCACATCCTCCCCCTTGGGCTGCACCAGGGAAACCCTGACAGACACTATGAAGCTCTCCTTTCTCCATCTATGTTTCCCGAATGTCAGGCTCACTGCTCCACGTCAGCTTAGGCGGTTTCCGCATTCTGCCTTGTCCTGCGTATGTTCTCAGCTGACTGGTGGCTAAATTGTCTCTGCGGAGGGTTTTTGTGTCTGGGAGTCTCATCCCTCAAATGGGCCTCCTTTTTGATCTTTGTCTCAATCCTTGTGTTTTTTATGAAAATACATTTTTGGTTCAAAATACACATCTTTACCTTCAAATAAAATATTGATAACACTAGTTAAGAAATCCTCCTCTGAACACTAATTCCAGATGTTTTACTTAGATTATTGGTGCAGCAAGAACCAAAACATATGTGCAAGAACATTCTGTAGTGGATCCCGTAGAGAAAACAATGGAACTTAAATCTACAAATGTAAGTAACTAACCTGGCTTAGTTTTTCCCTCTTGTGCTGGTGGTGGTGGTTTAGTCACTAAGTCGTGTCCAGCTCTTGCGACCCCATGGACTGTAGCTCGCCGGGCTCCTCTGTCCATGGGATTATCCAGGCAAGAATACTGGAGTGGGTTGCCATTTCCTTCTCCATTCCCTCTTGTAGTTGATATAAAAGTGGACATACACTCTTCAGCCTGGTCTAAGAAATTTGTACTCAAGATGCTGGACCGTCTCTGCCTGTTTGCAGCCTCAGTGCTCTAATGAGCCTGCCCTGTTACTTTTAGGAGGTAGCACCTCAATAAAATGAATTTGGAATCAGTGTATATTACTACTATCATGGTGCTTTTGTCAAATATATTACTTTTTTAATAAAAAGTAAGCAATGAATATTGAAAGCTTCTATTTACATAGTAATATCAAAGTGGTTTATATGCTGTTTTGCATATTTAGCTAGCAAGATTTTGGTTTGTGAGTTAATTTTGGAAATGTTTTTAATCTTGGTTCCCAACACTATTTGACTTCTTTTTTTAATTCTGTAGATTTCATTTACAAATATGGTTTCAGTAGATGAGAGACTTATATACAAACCACATCCTCAAGACCCAGAAAAGTAAGTGAAAAGTATTTTAACAAGCTTATTTTACAATATATTTTCATTTTTCTTTAGTATGAAAAATGAAAATTAGGTCATCCTGAAGCTGTGTGAATGTGTTTTGTTCTAGAACTATTTTGACTCAAGAAGCCATAATTACTGTGAAAGGAGTCAGTCTCGGCAGTTACCTTGAAGGGCTGATGGCAAGTACGATATCATCAAATGCTAATAAAGTAAGTAAGGCTGCTCTCACTTACTGTGGGGGGTGGGGTGCAGGCTTGTGGGATCTTAGTTCCCCAGGCCCCCTGCAATGGAAGCACAGAGTCTTAACCACTGGGTCGCCTGGGAAGTCCCTCCCCACTTGCTCTTCTTCCTGGGTCACTTCTTAAGAAGAGCTGTCCTTGTGAGCTGCCTGAGCCACTGCAGTGTGACGCCGTGTGGGCTGTTACTGGGGTCTAGTGTGTCTGGGTTCACATCCCACCTGTAACTGACCAGCCTTTCATCTTGGGCAGTTAACTAAGTGAGCCTTTCTCTGCCTCAGTTTTCTATATGCGAAGTGAAGATTAATTACCCACCTTACAGGGTTGGGTGTGGAGAGTAAATGAGATGTCATGGGAAATCTGTGGCTGGGGGCCCAGCACTTAGAGGGCAGGGGAAGGCGAAGATGTGTCTCACTGTTGAAAGTATAGATTCTCAGCCTGTTTCTCATTATCATCTCCCTTCACCCCCAGATCCACTGTAGATATTTTCTCCTAACTATCCCCACTTTGAGAAATTATTAAATGCCAAACATTATGTCTATAGATGCAGAGATATATGGGTCTGTGTTTGTGCCTTTTACATTCAAAGAATGAGATTTTTCCCCACTATCCCCCAACTAATTTTTGCCCCGTTGAGAATGTATGATTTAAAATAAAGTTTAGAGAAAGAGATGCCTAATACACTGTTTTATAACATGTGTAATATCATTCAGCAGCCAAAAGATATTCATAGATGCCTTCTCTATGTCAGGCAGAGTGCTAGGCTAGACTGGGGACACAGCAGGGAGCAAAACAAACGTGGTGCCTGCCCCCGTGGAACTGAGAGGAAGGCGACATTAATCATAACAACACGGCATTAGGAAAGGAAAAGTACAGACAGGTACGAGAGTGCTTCATGAGTGCTGAGTAAGTTGCGTTGCTGCTGAGTTCTGAGCGAGGGGTGGGTAGGCCGTGAGGGGTCTGCCAGGGAGCGGTCCAGGTGGCGCAGCTGCACGTGCAGAGGGCCCGAGGCCAGAAGCAGTCAGTGCTCCTCGTTCTGTCCCTCAGGGCAGCGTAGAGTGCCAGGAGAGAGGGGTTGGAGAGGAAGTCAGACCAGAGCCTTCAGAGCCTCGGACAGGATTTTGCTGGAAAATATGGACATAAAAAGAGAAATGGAGTTTGACCTCACCATCAGAAGGGGGACCGTTCTAATCATAAAGTAAAACATCACTACCATTTAATTGTAGATTCTTTATAGAACATCTTTTGCAAACAAAGTAAAAACCAGTTTTAGATCAAGCCAGTTTCTCAAAGCATTTGATATTTGGTAAATAACATTAAAGAAGAAAATACAAAGAGAAAAACTGTCCTGGTGAGGTTTAGTTATGCTTGTCCTGCCCATTGTGACTTCCTGACATACTATTCATGCATGCCTTTGCTCTCACTTGGTATCAGTAAACATACTGGATTTTTTTTTTTAAGGGCCGAGAAGCAATGGAGTGGGTAATACATAAATTAAATGCTGAAATTGAGGAACTGACAGCTTCAGCAAGAGGAAGCATACGGACACCAATGGCAGCAGCCGCATTTGTGGAGAAATGATAATGGAGGTTGATAGATGGCACCCAGTTCCCCAGGTCTCTACAAGCTGGCAGTATATTTATTTGTTATTTAAAAAAATACAACTCTATTTTAGGTAGACTTTTTTTTTTAATAAGCTGAAGAAAAGCTATGTGACTTGATCAAACAAAGAGGTGCAAGATTTCTAAATAAAAGGGATCAGCTGAAATTAGTATTGTCTGAAATGACTGATTTTGAGGATTCCAGTATTTATGCAAATTTTTAAGTTTTTTGAAAAGTGTGCTTGGAAATTGGTATTGGCTGATGAAACCTCCTTAAGGTAGAATTTTAAAGCTTTTCATGCATTGGAACTCTACCTGGCTTTGGACCAACCCCAGAACCAAGCAGAGCCCCTTCTGTGTACGCACGACTGCCCTGCTGTGGTAAACTTGGGAGAGCTTACATGAGGGAACTCACTTTTAAAGGAGAAACTGTCATTTTAAAAAGACATTAATTGTATGGAATAATTTACTCTGCTATAAACCACCATTAAAAATCACAGTGCTTTAATTTCATACTCAATATTTTTTGGAGTAAAAATTATCACAAAAGTAATACATGACTCCAACAAAAGTACATTTTATTGTGTTATAAAAAGTACTGTACTGATTGGCCAAAGTTTTGTAACTTAGTAAAGGTATTACTTGGATTTGGATTTGGATTTGTACTTTATGATTTAGTATGCTGTATCGTGGGCTGGTTATGTTAACTGAAAAAATAAAGTCATTATCAGAATTTTGCAGCGCTCTAAACTTAAACAGAAGAACAGCTGTTCACATCTTTTAGCATTTCACATTTGCCTAACTTATAAATTGCCATGTGTCAAAATCATGGTTCTGTAATTGCTAAAGCATGATATGTCAGGTTATTTGAATATAATTACTTTGTGAAGTAATTATGACCACAAAACATCTTTGTTACATGAAGAGCTGTACATCATTTGAAATTACTCAAATGATGTTTTGATCTGAAGCATAAATCCCAGGGACTTAATGTTTTTAATAACACTGTGTCACTGCGGGGGATGGGGGTGGTGAAGAGGGAAAAAAGAAAAAGAGGGTGAAAAAAAAAGCATTGGCCTAAAGCACCCTGTGAACTGCTTTGCAGTTTTTTTATAGGAAATCCTTGCCTTGGATGAACAGTCCAGTATGTGTATGTTGTAGCAGGCAATTAATTATCAACCACTAAATAAGAATATCTTTGATCCTTGGAATTGTTGCATACAGTGTATCGTTATTAAAAGGTGATGAGCTCTTTTATTTCACAGTACTTAATGCTATAAACTTCTAGTCAGGTTTCCTACAAAAGAAACCAGTTAATATAGGTACATAAACCACAAAAATCATATACCAATTTAAAAATTAGTGTTTTTCTACTTAAAATACTATTTAGCTTGAGGGTTCTTAGGACATTTGTAAAAGCACATTAAAGCCAGTAGGTTTTTTTTATTATTTTTATAACATTTTTTACAATTAAAATAACATTTCAACTAAACAAAACATTGCTAAATATTGATATTTAATAAATTGCCTTGTGTAATTTATGAAAATTATACTTGTTCTGAAAAGTGTCAGAATAGCCTAATGATAAAAAGATTTCTAAACAAAATGTTAACCTGACTTTTTTATTATAATAATAATTCTATAAATTTTCACTTTCCAGTGTAGTTACTTTTAATAAAGTAGCTGGTAGTTAATGGCTTTTACCTATTAAAGTAAGCATTTGAGAGGACTGGAATACTGGTGTTCATGGGTTAGAATTAAGACTCTCAGACTATGTAGCATATTTTTTAATATTAAAGGTGGACCTTATATGAATTAAGAAAAACCTACCTGTTAATAAAAACTTCCTTTTAACTATGATGTCTTTCCTGATTATAATTTCTTTCTAATAACTGCAAGGAGTAAAAGAAATGTTTTATCCTTGTAAGAATTCGCCTAATTGCCATGTGCTGGAGCCGGCTCAGCGCCCAAGTTTTAGATTCTAGGTTGGACGTGCAGCGCCTCGGCCGTCCCTTCCTCGGATGTCCGGTCTGCTCCCCACGCCCGGACTCTGCTGCCCGGTGTGGTTACCCACCCTGGGTCGGCCTGAAACCCCAGAACTGTCGAGGGTCGGCTCGCTATGGTTAACTGTTAATGCGGGAGGGTCGTGCTGGCGCGTCGTCAAGGTCGGGTCCAGGGGCGGGGTAGGGGTGGCGTGCCCATAACACCTGCCTCGACGCGGTTCAGAGTCCCGCGCTCCCGGAGCCACGCGGTCGCGCCTCCCCTCTAGCCCCGCCAAGGCTACTACGGAAGCCCGCGGGGCACACCTGCGCTGGCAACCGCGGCACCGGTCGCGCTCCCCTATTGGCTCGCGGCGCTGGGAGCATTCTGCGGCAAGGCGGCGAGGCCGCCCGGGAGGGCGGGGCGGGACAGGAGGAGGCGGGACTGGCAGGCTCGGAGCCCCGCCCCTTCCGCTTCTCGGACCTGACCTTCCGGCAGCCGGGTCGCGGTCTGAGCCGACATTGACAGGTCTTCGCGATTCGGCCCGACGCGCCCCCTCTCGCGACATCATGGTGGCGTATTGGCGACAGGCTGGACTCAGGTAGGCCCAGGACTCGGGAAGATCGGGTCTCTGGGGCACGGGGAGGTACGGGGCTGCACGGGGTCGGAGGTCACGTCGGGTGCTTCGCGGATGGGGGTCGGGCCGGCGAGTGAGGTCCCAAGATGGCGGCCTGCGGACGCTGAGCCAGGGTCCCGGCCGCCGGGGCCCGAGCACCTGCCAGCACCTGCCGGAGTGTCGCCGAGCACCTGCGTGCCCCCAGGAGCGCCCTCGACAAGTGCCATGTGTTCTCAAGGACGGCGCTTCTCACCCGCGCGGCCTTTGGGCTTTGAATTGGACTCAGTTGAGGTTCTGGAAGTAACAGAGCTCGAGAGAGCGGAGGGGTTCTCAGGGTGTAACCACGATCACCATAGCTGGCGTTTCTTTCCAGCATCATTAAAAATTAACTCCTGTTGTCAGGTTTATCGGTAAAACGGATAAAAGCCCTTGATAAGGTGTAAAGGGCTCTGCCACAGGTGAGTGGTGGCTCCTGGGAAGCCAGAATATGGAGCACACTGAAGGCCATGGCTTCTGATGAGACGGAGAAACCGTGGATCTAGGTATCACACCTGGTTTCTTTGCCCGTACACCCAGTTGAGCTGCTCACCTGGCTCAGGTTAACACACCTTGTTACGTGACTAGATTAAGTAGCACCGCCTAATGGTGACCTGTGGGTTTGTGACTGGGCAGCCCAAGAGTTTCCTGATTTTCAAGGTCGAAGCAGAGTTCTGTAGGATTGGAGGCATGATGGTCCCCCTCAGTGGCAACGCCTACCACTAGACAGGTGGGGCAGACCTGCTCATCTCACTTGGTCTTTCATCCTCCCAGCCACCAGTGGGACAAATACTGTTATCCTCTGCTTTGTCCTGTTGTTTTTACAGGTGAGCAAATTAGACAAAAAGATGGAAAGGTTACCAATTCCTAGGAGTGGAAGGAAGAATCTGAACTCCTACCTCTGGCCCCCCCGAAAAACAAACCTGAAAACATGAGAAAATAGTCAGCAGCAAACTCCCCTTCCTGTTTTCAAAAAGTGTGAAAAGTGAGCTTACATCTCCTGGAAAATAAGGTGTTGATGGGAGTCCCATGTAGCAAACAGGAAGCAGGCTGTCAGATATTTTGCTAGAATTGATGGTCTCTAAGGGCTTCTCAGTTTAACTTAGAAACTTTGGGAAGTTATTTTCAATGGCACACCTGTGAATCAGAATCCAATATTCTAAGGAAAACCTTTAAATAATCAGAAGTAGAGCTCTTTTCATTCAAAATAGGTTTTTTTCCCTCCTCTTTTAATTATGTATGGTTTATCTTGTAAGAATAATAAAAGGCAAAATGTTGAATTAAATGGGAAAAAGTACAGTCATGTTATATCCTCTGTTAACATTTAGAACTGTGCTGTGAGTTTTTTCCTCTAATAAATCTATGCTTCTTTTAGTTCAAATTAATATGTATTGAAGAGAAAACAGTGCAAAGAAAAATTAAAAATCTCCCATTCTAATACCAGTGAAGGCTTTGATACATTTCTTTCTGGTCTTATTTCTCTTTGTATAGATTCCTTTGCATCAGTCATTTATTTTAAAGTTCAGTTCTACAATAGTGTACAACGAAACCAAAAGCATAGGAAGGCAAACAAAAGCATAGTCACACAACCAGTCTGGCTGAATCATTGATTATTAGCTTTCTTGCTCTCTCATTTCCTCCCAGCTACATCCGATACTCCCAGATCTGTGCAAAAGCAGTCAGAGATGCACTGAAGACCGAATTCAAAGCAAACGCCATGAAGACTTCTGGCAGCAGCGTAAAAATTGTGAAAGTGAAAAAGGAATAATCTGTAAGTTACTGATACATTCAGAAAAACATTTGCATCATAAGTTTTCAGAAAGCTTTTAAAAATCAGATTTCAGCTTTCTGAAATAACTGTCCATGTTTGGTCATTTGGTACATTTAGAGTTAGTGGGATGATCATTTGAGGCATACAGGTTGTAGAAGTCCCATGGCTTAATCAAAGAAAGTCATTGGGAGGCCCTGACCAGCAGAAGTAATTGCCACATTGATTTTCAATTCATTTAGCGAAGCTTAGGTAAAGAGCCATCGGCCATCTTATTTTAATTAAACCTGTTTCATTTGCACAAAATCAAATAAGTCAGAGGATAAACTCCCAACTTTTTAAATTGTTATTGGAGTTATGTAACTACTTCAGAAGCTTGAAAAATTACACTTCTTTGAGAGTTTATTTTCCCCACATCTGCTAATGTTCTCAAGCATGAGGGCTGCGAGTATAGGCAAGGGTCCTGATTTCATATCAAGCATTAAAATCATCAAGACCCTGCAGTGGATACTGTTTGCTAAATTTATTATGCTTTCAGAGTTTGGCTCATTTCATCTCTGATGTTGGCACTGCAAAGTAAGACAGTTTTGTACTGTTGATAAGTTCAAACTGCTAAAGTGATTTGATCTCTAAACCACTTTCTTGACTTTATTATTTCAAAGATAAAGTGAGGCAAATTACCAGAGGGATGTTTTTCAGATTTAATTTTCTTGTTTTGCTTTAAAAAGAAAAAAAAGCTTCAGATCTGCAGTAGCAAGGAAGTGTGATAAGTATTAATCCTTTAGCAGCTTGTGGTTATGAGCAATTTTACTTATTGGAACTGTCTCCCCTAAGCATTCTTCATTTTCATTTTAAATTAGTAAATATTTTATTACAAGTCTGGAGATGCAGTGTTTTGAATTGAGCCCTATTATTGCTTGGGCTCTCTGTCTAATCTCATCATTCTGAGGAATGAGACCTTTAGGTTGGGTTGTTTTTAACAGTCAGCTAACTGAGAAAAATCACCCCATCTCTGCCTGCAGCATGGCTGAGCCAAACCGTCGAATGCCCGCAACCTTTCAATGTCCTTGGGGCCAGGAAGTAGGGTCTGGCTCCAGCAAACAGCACAGTGACCATTGTCTATACCTCGTACAGGGAATGAGCCCTCACTGCCTCAACATCTTCTAAAGGCAGAGTGTTTCTTAACTATGGGGAGAGCGTTTGTCTTTACTTAGCAGGGAAGTGCCCCTTTGGCTGGGGCCGCTCACGTGAACCTGTACTTTTTACATCTGAAATCACCAGTTGAGGGAACTGAAGCTGCAGTCGTATTAATACAGCTCATTGTAAGGAAGTTATTTCCCCTATTTGTGTTGAATTTTTAAGAAAACATAAAAGGACCAGCAACTTGGATTTTCTCTTTTCCTTCTAGACCCTGAGTACAGCCTGAATGCTGCATGTTCAAGGTGAAGCTGTGAGCACGTATTATAGCATATTGGAAACCATCTCCCTTCATGGAAAAAAAAAAACAAAATAATACCTGTGTTGTTCATAGATTTACAATGCCAGTAAATTAAAGTACAGTTCACTCTAGCTGTTGGTTTTTGGTTTCTGTCAGACTTCTTTACGGGAGCCATCTGCACGGCTGCAGGAGTATGATAAAGGGAGAACAGAGACTTCCTGTTCATCCAGTGGTTAGCACTCCGAGCTGCAGGGGGCGTGGGTTCGATCCCTGGTTGGGGACCCAAGATCCCACAGCCGCCCAAAAAAAAAAACCCAAAAAGTTGGAGATGTCATATCTAGTGACCAAAGGGATCCAGGAGACATTTTGAAAATGTCTCAAAATAGTGCTCTTTTTCATGACATTAATTGACAGAATTGGGCTCTGTCATCAAAGCTGTCTTACTCCTTATCTTCTAATTGCAGACGTGTCAGAGGTAGTGGCCAGGGGTGGGGGAGGGGAGGTGGGTTGTCTGCTGGCCTCATCCTCCTTTGCAGGCACCCATCATATCCAAGTGGTGCCACTTAGCCAGCAGGCTAAGTGAAAATGATTATTAAAAGCATAGATTAGAAGACAAAATACTAAATTGTAGTATTCATTTCTTATCATGCACTTCAAATCTATAGTGAAAATGATTATTAAAAGCATAGATTAGAAGACAAAATACTAAATTGTAGTATTCATTTCTTATCATGCACTTCAAATCTACTTTTAATGTTGAAATTATCAAGCACAAAATACCTTTCAGTTTGTTTTATAAATGAACTTTTATATCCTGGGAGTGTTTCTCATAGGAAACTAGATAAAACCACTCAGTAACTTGCTTATGGAGTTGATGGCTGAGCTGACATGAAAATCTAAGGCTCTGGACTGCAGGTCTCAGGTGTGATCATGACAGCCGTCCACTGTACTTTTTGGGGTAATTCATTTACCCTTTAAATACTTAGAGATAAAGAATTGTTGAAAGTGTAGTGTTTCTCTTTCTTTGAAACTTGAAAGCACTTGACTAAGTAAAATCCCACTGCAAAGCTAGAAACTGCTTGATTGTTAACCACTTCTGGAGGATGGAGAAATACAGCTGGACAGGAAATTTTGAAACACTTCAGCTTCTGCCCCAGGAATGGCTCTCACCTTGGTACTTAAGCTCACTATATAATTTATCAGGGCCACTCAGCCACGCTGAGGACGAGCCCAGGAGAAGGCTTTTGTTCTTGGCTCCTGGAGAGGACTTCCTGCCCCAGACTCTTGACCTGTGTGTAAGTTTTATCTCGTTCTCTGCACTGGGCTCACGAAGAGGAGCGGGGGTGCTGAACAGAAGCCGCTTACGAACCCCTTGAGTCCTGTGCCTGAGGCTTTTGTCCTGAGCTTTTGAAGTCAGAGCCCCTCAGTTGTCATGCTTCAGTCCCCACAATTAAGTTACCAGGCGGCATCTTTCATTACCAGGACAGAAACAAATGACTCACAAGGCCATGGGGCCTCTGATACCAGACGAATAAAGTAACTGATAGGCAAAGGGCTGAATCATTTCCAGCCAAGTTAATTAGAGATAAGTCATTTTATTCAGGAGGCAGATGGAATAATTAGAGTCGAGACTTAGGGACAGGCCTTGTGATAAGGAAAGGATTAAAGTTAACTGAGTAAAGGACAGATTCACTGCTCAGTAGAGATTCTGTGTGGTTCTTCTTGATTAAAAACAGTCCTGAACTGTTACCATGAGGCCCTGCATCACGCCCCACTGGGTGGCTGGCAGGACCACTGTGTCCAGAACACCAGGGGGCCTAGTCAGATGGAGTTGTGGGTATTTCACTAAGCACCTGCGTGACTTGTGAGGGATTCAGTCTCCTCATTCACACAAGGTTCTTGTGTGTGAAGTGAAGGAATCAAACGCTCTAAAATCCTGAGTCTACCATCTCAGTCTCGGAGAGACCAATGTTGCTGTAGCCACTGTACATTTAAAGGAAGAGGCCCTTCAAAATTGGGACATTTCTTTTGGTTTTAGTGTGTTTGCTTTTTTTTTTTTGGATCTATATCTACTTAGCTCAGCTGATAAAGAATCTGCCTGCAATGCAGGAGACCCCGGTTCAATTCCTGTGTCAGGAAGATCCCCTGGAGAGTAGATAGGCTGCGCACTGCGATAGCTTGGACTTCCCCGGTGGCTCAGCTGGTAAAGAGTCTGCCTGCAATATGAGAGACCTGGGCTTGATCCCTGAGTTGGGAAGATCCCCTGGAGAAGCTACCCACTCCAGTATTCTGGCCTGGAGAATTCCATGAACATGGGGTCACAAAGAGTCAGAAGTGAAAGTGAGCAACTTTCACTTCACCTTACAAAAGAGTAGGATAGTGGGATGCATTTTGAAATATTTTTAACTACTCAACATTAATAAGTCTGGGCAGTTAGACTCCAAGAAAAGGAATTTATTTAGTCTGAAATAAAGCAATTTAGCCATTTAAAATTGAATGTATTTTAATGATTACTATTGAGCAAGCAAAAATCTTTACAGTAATATAAATCAGCAGGGTTTTGTTTTTTACTTTAGATCGGTATCCTTTCCTGCATCTATTTAATTGCCTTTTTAGATTTGAGAAAGTGAAAAAAGTGCCAGAGGAAGCATGTGTATAAATTCTTATGTAATCACAGGTTATAAGTCTTTTTAACATCTAAAGAAGTTATGAACTCCAACTAAGAGTAATTCAGATGCAGTTTCTTATTAAATCTGCTTTCGGATTTAGTGCTTTTTGAACCACAGGTAGAAGGTGTTTAAAACTTTATTTTTTTAATTCTATAAATAAAAGGCATGTCACAATACAAACATCAAGAGAATTTTTCTCTTGGTGCATATTTTAGTTATTTTCTCATGATATGCATGTGAAAAGAGTGAAGTTTCTCAAAATGAGCTACTATCACCCATCCACTGGCTGCCTTATTACTGCAGGTTACAAAACAAATAGATGAAAACCCAGTTGCCTGCAAGTAAATAGTTCCTCCCATCACCGACTGCCCGTGGATCCAATTGGATAACTCCGTGGTAATTCTAGAAAGCCATTAAAACCCTTCAGGCGCTGGATGGGATGGCAGTGCTATATGTCAGAAATAGGTAAACTGTAATTAAGAAGTTATGGATGATTTGATTACGCTCTTGTGTATTTGGTCCTGTTGTAATGTGAACAGATTAAAATTGTGTAATGGCTAAAGCTGTGTCATCATGCAAACATTTATGGCAACTTCTGCAAATTAATATCAACTGTAAAAGTTCCCTAATGAGACAGTGTCCTCCATAACCTCGAAGGACACTACAGCCACCGCTGCTTAATTCCTCCGTTTCAGTGGTTGCTGGGCGTGCACGTGCCCTTTCTAAAGAGCAGGGCAGCTGCAGAGCCCTGTGAGGAGGGCTGCTGCATCAAAGTGAAAAGGGCATTTTGAAATGGCCTTTACAAGAACCAAAGATGATGAATGAATTCCCAGAATCAAACATAAATAAGAAACTTTAAAGTATCTACATATATGTTAAGAGCTAGTTATACAGGGCACTTCCCTGGTGGACTAGTGGTTAAGACTCTGAGCTCTCAGTGCAAGGCATGCACGTTCAGTTCCTGGACTGGGAACTAAAGAGCCCACATACTGCACAGCACAGCCAATTTAAAAACATTTTTAAAAGGTAGCTGGAGGATGAGATGGCTGGATGGCATCACCGACTCGATGGACATGGGTTGAGTAAACTCCGCGAGTTGGTGATGGACAGGGAGGCCTGATGTGCTGCAATTCATGGGGTCGCAGAGTCGGACACGACTGAGTGGACTGAACTGAACTGATTCAGACATAAAGATCAGAAGACTGGAGTTGTTATTTTGTGGGGTTTTTTGCCTGGGTATTTTTTTGGGAAGGACTGCCACTTTCCTTTCCTCCCTTGTCCCTTTTGCAATCGGTATGCTGAAGTATATACACAATCTCCACAATTTACTAGTGGTCACTGACTCCCGTTTTTCTCTGTGTGACTCCCAAACACCAAGCAGTCACCTGACTTGACTCCTGGAGGTCAGCAGGTGTGAACAGGTGGGAAGCGGGCCATGCATTGAGAACCTACAGTGAGAGCCTTAACGGTCCCGAGATGCCAACAAGTACAGATCCCCATGTGCTTACCAGGGTAGCTAATGCCTATACATCTTAACCTCACCTGCAGGGGCTGCCCCACACCCCCCGCCCAGTCCATCTCCACACACAGCAAATAACCAAATCAGATGTTTAAACAAAGGGAGCACTTTACAGTTAATTCACCTGCCTACTAAAAAGAATAAAACCAAGCTTGTGCACATTATACCACACTCTTCAAGACCCTAGTGCCCCTCAGTACTTCCCCGCCCCCCCACCCCACCCCCCAAAGTCCCCCATCAAAGCTAACGCTAAGTGGCTGCGGGGGGTCGCTGTGTCGCAGCACAGAACCGGCCTGTGATCCGGGGGTGACTTGCTCATCCTGATAGCGCTCCGGACGAGCCAGCCTCAGGCAGGGCCTCTCGCCGTTACTGTTCCTTGTCTGCCGGCTCCACTTCTGCTTCCCCCTCTACCTCCTCCTTTTCTTCCACATCCGCTCTGGCGTCTTGAAACTGTTGGTACTCGGACACCAAATCCTGGATGTTACTCTCAGCTTCAGCAAACTCGTTGATGTCCATCCCCTCGCCGGTGTACCAGTGAACGAAGGCCTTCCTCTTGAACATGGCCGAGAAATGCTCGGAAATCCTGCCGAACAGCTCCTGGATGGCTGTGTTGTTGCCGATGAAGGTGGCCGCCATGCTCAGCCCCCGGGGCGGGATGTCGCACACGGCCACCTTGACATTGTTGGGGATCCACTCCACGAAGCAGCCGCTGTTCCTGGTCTGCACGTTGAGCAGCTGCTCGTCCACCTCCTTCGTGGACATCCGGCCCCGGAAGATGCAGGCCACGGTGAGGTAGCGGCCGCGGCGGGGGTCACAGGCGGCCATGGTGTTGCGGGCGTCAAACATCTGCTGGGTGAGCTCGGCCACGGTCAACGCGCGGTACTGCTGGCTGCCCTGGGCCGTGAGCGGCGCGAAGCCGGGCATGAAGAAGTGCAGGCGTGGG